CCTGGGATCACTCAGCTCCCAAGGGTTACCCTGGGATCACTCAGCTCCCAAGGGTTATCCTGGGATCACTCAGCTCCCAAGGGTTAACTCAGCTGCTCTGCCAGGGCAGCTGTGAAAACAGCTCCTGCTCCAAGTCAAACAGGGCCGGAGCAGCCGAGGATCCAGCGCCACAACAATGGCCGGGCCGAGGCTGGCAGGGAATCAAACACCCAGAAATTCCTTCCGACTGCCCTGAGCAGCTCGTTATCAATAACACAAGTGATTAACCAGGGCTCGCTCCAGCCTCCCTCTTGGCAAGGGGCCTCTTCCCGAGGCAGCCAGCAGTCACTCCCCCTCAGAGAGCCCCCTCTGTGCCCCCCAAACCCATCCCTGCCATCCCAAGGCTTCACCTTCCTGATCCCACAGATCAGCCCCGAGGATGGGCCCTACAGCAGCTTGGTTTTTGAAGCCCATCCAACCCAGAGAGGAGCTCTGGGCTCTACCTGCTCTGAAGCACTGCAAGGAAAATCCCCAAATATCACAGTTTGGGAGAAAATGCCCAACAGACACTGAGCCCTTGCTGGGAGGAGCTGGGTGATGGCCAGGTCACACTGCTGTGACTACAAGACCAACCCAACAAGCACAATGGACATTCCCAGGATGACCAGAAGCAAGGAGACACCAGGAAAACCCTGCTCTCCCCCAGTCTTGAGCCACTCCCATGGAGGGAACAACCCCACAGACCCCAGAACTCAGGGTTCTGCTCCAAGGGGTCCCCACACACCCCCCACTGCTGCTTTCAGCTGCTGAGCCACAGGGATATTTCTGGCCATCCTCTTCTCCGAAAGCACCCCAGTGATTGGGTTACACCTCAGGCTTTAATTAGCAATTCCAGAGGGCAGGAGAACGTGCTGGCACACCGTGCCAAGGCAGGAGCACCAGGAGGTGACCAGGGGTTGGACTCAGGTACCCCCAGCTACAGCTATACCAGTCACCAGGATTATCACGGACCCCAACGTGAGGATGCACAGATCAGGAGGCAGCTGGGGCTCATGGAATGCTGGAATGGTTTGGGTGGGAAGGGAGCTTAAACATTATCCAGTCCCACCCCCTGCCATGGGCAGGGACACCTTCCACTAGCACAGGTTGCTCCAACCTGGCCTTGGACACTTCTAGGGATGGGGCAGCCACAGCTTCTCTGGGAAACCTGTGCCAGGGCCTCGCTACCTTCACAGCCAAGAATTCCTTCCCAAAATCCCATCTAACCCTGCCCCCTGGCAGCAGGAAGCCATTCCCCTTGTCCTGTCACTGCAGTGACACTTCACTGTCCTGACAGCGCAAGATCCCTGCCCCGAGGAACAGGCTCTGGCCAGCAGAAGTGTTTCACCACCCCACACTCACACATCACCCCAGGACCACTCTACACCCCAAAAATGGGGCTGGAAGCTAAAGCTGCCCAAATCCAGCCCAGCCACGGCACCGTGCCCAAAGGAGCCAGGCTGGCACCGCGTGTGCCACCAGCCACCCCAGAGCTCCCACCACGCGCTGCCCAGCGAGAGCAAAAGCTCTTTGAAGGCTTTTTGGCACTGAGGCATCGATTAGATTATATATAGACTGCAGCTCCATTAAATATTTATCCCTTCAGCTGAAGCCCATTGGATTCTGGATGCGACAAGCCCGGCTGCTGCTCCTGTGAGTTCTAGAACAAATTCCATCCTTATTTGAGGTGAAAACAGCAGTGCCAGCACGAGCTCCCCTCGGCTGCGGCACAGAGGTGGGGTCGGTGTGACAGGAAAAATACAGCACCCAAACAGTCTGGTTGCAGGGAGGAGGAAGGGAAGGTGTTGGGTTTTCCCCGGGAATCACATGGTCCAGGCTCACAACAACCCATCTCCTCCACATTTAAATCCAGTTCTGCCCAAACTCCAAACAAAGATTTTCCGCAAAGGGAGAGACTTCCCACGTGGGACTCAGTGAGCAGAAAGATATTAGATGTCCAAAATATTATGTTTACAACCGTGAGGTTTCCTGTGAACATGAGATTCAATAGTCTTTAAATATTTGTTCACTTTAACTTTTCCCATTCCACAGAATATTAAACTCTGGTTGTCCCCATTAAAAGTTTAATCGGGAGCGAAAGGGGATCCTCCAGCACGTCGGGAACAGGGAAGGGCTTCATGCCCGACACCTTCCCCATAACAGGGCTCATTCATCACCTTCCCAGAGTGACGGAGCCCCCCGAGCCCCCCCGAGCTGCTCCTGCCAAGAAAAACCTCCATTCCCCATGGCAGGTTGCCATGGCAATCCCAGGCTCTGCATCCCCTTCCAATGCCCTGCATCTTCCCTGGACCACAGCTGCAAATGAGTGGGGATAAAACACCCTGGGGAGTGCCCAGGAGAGGTACTCACCCACCCAAACCCCCACAGGAGGTGCTCAGTGGGTGCTGGGTGCTTCTCCTGGGGTCCATGGGAGCACCTCCAGGGACGCTCACCCGGGCATAGAGATGCTGATGGTCGTTAAAAAGGGCAAGAGGTTGGAGAACCTGAAATCCCCAACTAACCCCCCATCACCCCCTGCTCCTGCCAAGAATCTGACCTCCTGCCTGAGCAGAAACACTTCTGGGGTGGTGTTTCACCAGCACGGAGGGGGAAACCAGAGAAAACATTTGCACTGGTGATAAATCAAGAGAGGGATCGTTGGGTCCTGTCACCCCACCTGCTCTTAAAATGGCCAGAGCCACCACCGGCACCCACAGCTCTGGAGGGCACAGGGAGCTGCTCCTGGCAGCCTGTCAGGAGGCAGGATGGGGCTCTGGGAGCAGGAACAGGCTGGCATGGTGTTAAATAGCTCAGGGCTGGCTCTGCCCGGCAGCTCCGGCTCCACGGCCACTCGTCTTTACACCTGGATGTGGCAGAGGGAAGTTTAAAAATAACTCTGCGGCCCGTCAGTCACGGGAGAGGCAGAGCAGGGCTGAAAGGAGCTGCCTTAGAAATGACCCAGAGCACAGGAGCGCAGAATTCCAGGCTGGAAGCTGGGGGGTCCTGCGTGATACCCCACGGATACTGCTCTGGGTAGTGGAGCCAAAATACATCAGCCTTGGACATAGCTGAGGAGGAAAACAGGAGCTGCAGGGATGCCCCAGCCCTGGGGATGCACCCCCAGGCTGGTCCCAGCATTCCCCTGTGGCACAGGATGGGATCCAAACCCCTCCTGGGCCCCCAGTCCTTGGGAGGATGCCTCATAAAACAGCCCCACAACCACCACTCTGAGGGGAGCATCCCCAAACACCCTGCACAAAACACCCCAAAACATCCTGCACTAAACACCCCAAACCTCTGTAGGGAAGGGAATCACAGCAGTGCACACCAGGCCATGGCAGACAGAGCCTCAGAACAGATTTTGGGCCACAGCAGCCCCAGTTCCACCTGCCCTTGCTTACAGATTTTTATGTTGGGATGAAGAATGAAGAGAAGGGATGAACACACAGCACTGCCTTTCCTCCTCTTGGAAAACACCCCAAAACACTGCAACACCTCAAAACATATATATCTATATCACAGACTATCCTGAGCTGGAAGGGACCCATAAGAATATCCAGTCCAACTCCTGGCCCTGCACAGACACCCCAACAATCCCACCCTGTCCCTCAGAGCGTTGTCCAAAGGCTCCTTGAGCTCTGGCAGCCTTGGGGCCGTGACCACTGCCCTGGGGAAGTGCAAATGTATAAACACACGTGTATAAATACACACACCCCGAATGCCTAAAACCCTGGAGCAGTGGGGTTGGTGGGGCTGCCAAAGGTGATGCAGAACATGGCACCAGCACCATCCCACCATCACACAACACTGCCACCCACGAGCCCCCAGCTTCTCCTGGGCTCCCAAACCACAGATCCCTCCATACCCCCCCAATACAGTTTCCAAGACGGGTCTGGACCCCCCCAGCCCTCCTTCAGGCACTCCAGGACACCCCCTCCCACACTGCACAGCCCCCCCAAACCTCCTCCCTGGCAGAGGGCGGAGGGAGAAGCAAGGAGTAAATCACACCAGCCGTGAAGCACCAGCAGCATTTGTTGAAACCAGGATATTGTCTCTTTAAGCACATGAAAATAAGGCCCTTGAGCAGTGTGGTTCTCACTCCGGCGCACAATTATGGGTACTTTCAGCTGTCTACCACTATTTCAAGTGCTCTCTCCAACCGGGCTGTCAATGGCATGTTGAAAGCTATTTGTGGCTGCTATCGTTATTAGCAAAGTGGAGAGCCAGGCTGATGAGAATTAAATCAGGGAGGGGGGGTGGAGGGGCAGGACACAACCCCTCATTACGGAATTACCACCGGCAACCGGGATGTGGGGGGCAAAGCCCACTCAGACCCCCAGAAGGCACCCAGCACCCCCAAAATCCACCTGCAAAGCCAAGGGGAGGGAGAGGTGAAGCTCTGACAATATTCCCTTCTACCTTAGGAGACCTGAGAGCAGAGCTAACAAATTACTTGGCTTCTGAAGTATTTAGCAAATTATTACCTGGCACTCCTCGCTAACGAGCATGACAGAAAGTATATTGTGTTCCTAGAATATTCTAGAGAAAAAAAAAACCCTGCCTCTCTTCCCTGGAAGTGTCAGGGGGGTTTAGGTTTGTTCCAAGCATTAAGTGTTTAAGCACGAAAACAAGAAGTGCTTATGTGGAGGGTTCTCAGCCATAAAAAGAAATAAAACCCAGCACAAAGGTTCTGTCCTCCGAGGTGTCCCGTTTCCCCACGCAAAATTAGTTTTTCTTTTGGAATGGTTATTGCAGTCGGCGATTATCCACGGAGATCTGCACAGAAACAATGCAAAGCCAACAGGGGAAGCAAAGTTTCTTTTGGAAAAATCAATTAGCCCTAAGAAGGGGAAAAAGAAAAAAAAGTTTTGCCGGGGTTTCAAAAGAAAACTCATGACTGGACTCGGGTTTAGGAAAGCTGAGCCCGGGTAAGGGAGCTTAGTTCAGCAGGAAGACTGATGTAAGGAGCGATTCACTGCGACCAAGTCACTTCCTAAATATTTCCTTGCATATGGAGTTGTTTATGAAAGTACATTTTTTTACTTAACAAGAAACAAAACGAGAAGAAAGGGGGGAAGGAAAAAAAAAAACAACACAACAACCCCACACGCAGCCACATATGCACACACTTAATATTCAGCGTAGAAGAGATAATCTGTTATATAAGCCCACAGACAGACAATCCCCTTTTGCTTAAAGATGAAGTATCCATCAATGTTTGTCTGGAGCAGATGTAATCACAAGCAGTCAAGTCTGGAGGGCAGGACACTGCATGAATAATTCAAGCACTTCAGTCTACTTGATTGTGTGCAGATAAACACAAGTCAACCGCTAAACAGGTCAGCTGATAAACTTGTTTGTTCAGGACCAGCCACCCTCAACCAGATGCAGGCAGGACCACGCCGCAATTAGCGGGATGCCTTGCGGGGGGATGCTGCAGCAGGGATGCCTTTCAGGGGGATGCTGCGGCCCGAAAGAGGGGGAAAACCCCTCGGCAGGCCCCCGCTGCGGTCCGGCTCTCCCATCCCGCCGCTCCCTCTCGCCCCATTTTCGCCTGGAAGCGCCGCTGGGAGCAGCTCGCAGGGCTTTGTTTTCCTCCAGCCCCGCGCGCATTGCTGTCAATTAAATAACGAGGCGGCTTCGCCTCCCGAACTTCGCTGAGCCCGGCGCTCGGCACGCAGCATATGTCACCGGCAGCGGGCAGGGATGCTCGGCACAGCCTGGAACCATCCGGACGGGATTTATCCGCTCGCCCACAAAGCTCCCAGCGAAGCACGTTGACCACGCTGGGCCTCTCGGGCTGCCACAACCACCCAGCAACTCCCAGGGCACCAAACCACCCCTGGGAATTCCGGGGCTCCTCAGTCACCCCCCAAAACCACCACGGACACGTCAAGGGAAGACGCCCTACGTGGTCACGGTCAGCGGAGCGGAGGATGGGGTGATCCATCTGCACCTCCCAAGGGTGCCAGACCTCACTGATCCCTTGGGTTCCTTCCACGGACCGGTGGAAAAACACACTGCACATCTCAGGAACGGCAACTCCTTCCAAAGCTTCCATGGAGAGAACAAGCTCAACGTCTCCGTGCATTATTCCAGCATCTCCCAGCATCACTCAGAGCGGAGCCGTTCAACACCAAGCAACCAGGTGGGAAGAGGCACTTCCTCTCCCCAAAGAACCCATGTTCACGTTACTCCAGTGCCTTCAGTGTCACTCCATCCCTCAGGCATCACTCCAGTCCCTCGGGGCGTCGCTGAAGCGGCCGCAGGGTCCGTGTCCAGCAGGGTCCGTGTCCCTCTGGACGCGCCACGACCGTCCCCTCCTCGCGGGAGGCCACCACGGGCCTACACAAAACCCCTGCGTTCTGGGGATTCCCGACCTCCCCAGGCCAAACCGTGCCTGAGGCCTCCCCCAGCACGGGGGTCCCGGCCCCTCACAGCCCGCCTGGGATCCCCCTGGGCCGCCCTGCCCCGCCTGGGTCCGGGCAGAGCCGCGGAGAGTGGGCGAGGAGTCGGGATTATCTGCATGGGAAGATATTTTTAAAAAAAACTGAAGACTAAGCAGGAATTATTTTCGTTGCCCTGTGACTGCGCCGCAGAAAGGCAAAGGGAAGAAAAGAGAGGCAGATTCAGAGACGCTGCTTTGCATTTCATCAGCTCCCAGCAACGCTTCCTAGAGGAGGGCGATGCTGCTATTAAGCAAAACCACTTTGGAGTTGAATGGGGCTGATTTGCGAGCGGCAAAGTTGATGTCAACTTCTATCTGCCTTAAGTTCTTAATTAGAACTCCTTCTAAAACCAGTAAGCAGCAGCAGCACAAATAATCAGGTCTAATCTCAATAATAACTTTATTCCTTTAAGTTTTACCATCATGTGCGCAGCCTTTAGGCTCTTTAACGATAATCTTATCAAGGTACCACACCACATTCTGCTGGGGCCTTCTCTATTTTTTCCTTCAGGCAAGTTACATATTAGAGGAGACTGGAAGGAAGGGAAAAAAAAAAAAAAACAACCAACCCCAAACATTGCTTCATTTCCCAGATGCAAAGACAAATCCGTGACATTGAGCAACACACCGTAAGCTATCGGAGCCCTGGAGATAATTCCCTCCTCAGTCTCACGCTACAGCACGGAGAACATCAGGGTATGACCTTAGAAACAGTCCTGTTGTACCAACAACACAACCAGAGGCAATCGCAGCACACATCAGTGTTTTCCCAGTTTTGGGAACGCGCTATTCCAGGTACCGACATCCCAGCACGGAAGGCAAGGCTGTTCTCACCCCTCCGCATAAACACTCTGCTTAAAACCCGAATTTCTCAGCAGCACAGACAAAACACCAACCTGCCAACAACCTGCAGTTCCCAATTCAACTGCCAGGCCACGGGATTCCCACCTGGAGTCACATCCCTGCCTTCAGCACTTATTCCCTATTTAGTGCAATCAGGGCCCATTTTACCTCAGGTTGAGGAAAAGGGCAACAGGAGATCAATCAACCCCAACTTCCCCCCCTGGAAATTACTCACCTGTTTGTGCATTTCAATGTTCAAACCGTACGACATTTCGTAGTACTGGGGAACAAAAACATACAAATAAATTCAATTAAAGAAGAGAGCCAAGAAGAATTTGAATTAACTTCACAGGAGGTATTTGCATAAGGTCATTACCAAAAAGCATCCTGGTCAAAACTGGGCTTAAAGCACTGGTAGCCAAGGAAATTACACCTTATAATAAGCAGATGTTTATGGGTTTAACTGGCAGGCACTTAACAAGGGGACACTCCTTTTGACTCCTGTTTTCTCCTCCTAAGCTACTTAGAAAAACAAAGAGGTGCAGAGCTGGGTGACAGGCGTCTGCTCAGCCCTGGCAGAACAGGTACAGCCCGGAGTCTGGCCAAAATTCCAGCTTCTCAGTGGGGGGGTGGATTTATTCCCCCCCCCAGGGGCCAATGGAGCTGCTGGGAGCCCCGGGAGCCGCCGGGAAAGGGGGTGCTGGATCCTGCTGAACCCAGGAGAAACCCAACCGAGCCCACCTGGGGGCCCCGCGACGCAAATTCGGCTAAAAAAGAGGGTTTTGAGGCAACAAAAGAGCCCATTTCCCTCGGGAAGGATGAGCGGGGTGAGCTGGGATGGCTCCCGGGTGGCCTCACCCCGCGCCTCGGAGCAGCAAGGGGGGGACCCCCACCACGCCGAGGGACCCCCCCGGAGCCCGGGGGCGCTGCTCCAGCCTCCCCCCGAGCCCCCCCGGAGCGCTACAAAGGGGTTAACAGGAAACTTGGGATTGCGCTTCCAGCCGTCTGGGGCTCCGTGCGCCTGGCACCGGGCACCCCCCCAACGCCTCCGGGGGTCCCCGGGCAGGCAGTGCCCGTCCCGGGGGAGGGGGTCCCCCGGTCCCCCCCGTCCGCAGGCTCCCAGCTAATGACATTTACAGGCTGATCCGAAATCTGATTAAAGTCTCTCACCATAACGTAATGGCGCTGCATTTCGGTCTTCTCGTTCGCCAGCTTGTCATACTCCACTTTGAGGCTGGGGGGGGGGGGGGGGGGGGGGACCCCGCGGGGGGGGGGGGGGGGGGGGGGGGGGGGGGGGGCAGCCGGGGGTCCCCCCGGGCTCACCTGTGGTACTGGGCCTGCAGGAACTGGAACTCGTCCTTGATCCGGTCGCAGGACTCGGCCACGGTGAATTTGAAGCCCGGTTGGCCCGGCTGGTGCGGAGCCTGCGGGGGGGGGGGGGCCGGGGGGGGGTTCCCGGGGGGGGGGGGGGGGGGGTAGCGGGGGGGGGCGGGGGGGGGGGGGCGGGGGGGGGGGACTGGGGGTGCGGGAGGGGGGTCGGGAGCGGGGTACCGGGACTCACCGGGTGCCGGCCCTGGGGGTACATGGCCGGGCTGGGGCGCGGTCACTGGGACGAGCCGTGCCGTGCCTCGCTACGGCGATCGCGACGTGCGGTGCTGCCGCTGCTGCCCGCCGGGCTCGGAGCGCTCCCGGAGAGGCCGAGAACTGAACAAAGGGACGAGAGGAAAGTCCGTGCGGGGGGCGGAGGAGGGAGGGCGGAGGGGGTGTGGGGGGGGAGCGGGCTCGGCCGGTTCCCCTCCGCACACACACACCCCCACCCCGGCCCCGCACCGCCGGGGAGGCGCCCGCGGAGCCGAGCCCAGCCCCGCACCGCCGGGGCCAGGTGCCGCCCCCCCCCGGCCGCCGCGCTCCGCGGGCCTCCGCTTCCTCACCCCCCCTCCTTCCGGCACTCGCTGTCGGAAAAAAAAAAAGGCAAAATCACCCCCCAAAAAAAGAAAAAAATAAATAGACGAAAAAGCCACAGCGACAACAACAACGCGGCAGTGGGAGGATGGTCCCGCGGTATTCCTGCGGCCGGGAGAAGGGGAAGCAAAGCCAGGAACTAACGCCGGAGCACGACGGCCATGGAGGAGAGGAGGAGGGGGAGGAAGGCCGTACACATCCGACTTCCCGGGCGCCGCGGACATGCGAAGTGCGAGCGGATCCCCCCGCCCGGGGGCGGCCGTTCAGCTGCGTCCCGCGGGGCCGGCGGTGGGCGCGGGGGCCATGGCGGGCGCGGGGGTCGCGGAGCGGGGCCGGAGCGGGGCGGCAGCGCCGAGCACGCGGTGCGGCCACAGCGCCCGGGCGGAGCGGGGCGGCGGGCGGGCGACAAAACCCGGCCGGCCGCTCCGGCCGCGGCCAATGGCGGCGCGCCGCGCCCACGTGGGGGCACGGCGAGCGGGCGCCGATTGGGCGCCGCCGCGCGCGACGTCACAATGCCAGCTTGTGTCCGCGAGAGGGCTGCCCGCGGGCCACGCCTACCGGGCCACGCCCCCCCTCCAAGCCACGCCCCCCGCGGTCCCCCCGGCCCGGCCGAGTCCGCGATGGAGCGGCCGGGCCTCGGCGAGAACGGCCGGGGAACGCGGTCGGGCTCCCGCGCCGGGGTTCGCACAACACCCACAACCGCTGTGTTACCCCCTGCTTTCCCCTCACGGCCCGCCGCGCCCGCAGAGCGCCCGGGACGAGCCCCCGCCCCCCCCCCGCGCCGACATGGCCGCCCTGGCTCCCCCGGCGGCCGCGCGGCCGCTTTGATGTGTCGTGAGGGCCCCCGCGCGCGCCCGAGGGGCTTTAACGAGGAACACGGGTAATGGCGTTCGCGTCAGCGCCTCCCGCCGCGCCGCGGGGACACCCGCCCGCACCCCGGCAGGGGACCCCCGGCCGGGGCGGCGGAGGGAGCAGACCCTGGCCCGGCCCGCGGCCCAGCGGGGCGGGGGCGGCGGGGCC